ATCAGAAATAACTGGGAATGACAGGAGTGTTACAGTCTACATGGAAGAAAGGAAGCAGTGGGGTATTCCAAGGTTCTGTCTTAGGCCCAATACTCTTCAAGATCTTCATAACCAATTTAGATGAGGGAATAGGAAGGGACTCGTCAAATCTGCAGACAGCACCAAGCTGGCAGGAATAGTCAACACCCCAGAACACAGGCTTAAGATCCAAAAGGATCTCAATAGATTTGAACACTGGTCCCCATCCAACAAAATGAAATTCAGTTGTGAGAAAAGTAAGGTTTTACACTTAGGCAAGAAAATCCAACGGTATAGATACAGAATAGGTGGAACTGGCTCCATAGCAGTAACTGCAACAATCACTTAAATATGAGCCCGCAGTTTGTTGTTAGCTGCTGCCAAACAAGCCAATGCAATCCTAGGCTGCATTAATAGAAGGATAGAATCAGGATCCTGTGAAGTGTTAGTACCACTTTATAATGTTTTGGTAAGAACATACTTGGAATACTGCATCCAGTTTTGCATCCAGCATCAAAAAGATGTCGAGACTCTGGAAAAAGTGCAGACAAGAGTGACAAAGATGATTAAGGAGCTGGATTGTAAAAACATGAAGAACAGTTGCAGGAATTGGGTAGGTCCGTCTCGTGAAAAGAAGGACTAGGGGTGACATGATAGCAGTATTCCAATATTTGAGGGGCTGCCACAAAGAAGAGGGAGTCAAGCTCCTCTCCAAAGGACCTGAAGGAAGGAAAAGAAGCAATGGATGAAAACTAATCAAGAAGAGAACCAGTCTAAAACTTAAGGAGAAATTTCCTGACAAAACAAATAACCAGCAAAACAGCTTCAGAAGTTGTGACTGCTCCCTCGCTGGAGGCTTTTAAACAGCCATTTGTCCAAAAGGATCTGCAGCTTGTGCAGGGGGTTGGACTAGAAGACCTCCAATGCCCCTTCAAAGTCTGCTATTCTGTTAGTCTAAGGAAAGTATTATTCAGAACAAAATCTACTCTCTTGCCTTCTGCTCCCTAGCAGATATCATCAAATCCATAGATACAAACACTTGGGGCCAAGTGACTGTGAAGAGGTAGAGACAGTTCAACATGTGCTCGGATTATTACAGACTCTTGAAAATGCCATCTAGCACCTCTCATCCAGTGAATCCCAGCACAACAGATGGGTTTTAAACTAAGTGCTGCTGTCACACACTAACCAAGATGAAATCAGAAGCATTGCCGTCTATTTTCAGGATGTAGTACAAGCCACGGCAACAGACAATTCCTTCTGTTACGTTTCATTTCATTTTATAATTCCTATTTTAAATGTGTGAGTTAATTCTCATTAACTGAAACTTAATATGAATATGCATGATATCTCTATATTATTACACTATAATATATACTATAATATATTACATCAACACTGTACCATGCTATGGTAGCATATAGTGTCAGGCACAAAGAATCAGGAACATTTGCTGAGATCAAAGCACTGAAGCATTTATTATTGTTACCTGTACACAAAAATCGGGTCAACTAATGGTCAAAGCTGAATTGGCACTAGCTAAGAAATTCATGGGTGTTGAACTTGGGTCTCTTGTGGCCGCAGAACGATTCCAAACTGATGACATGCTTAACACCACCTTTCAGCTCAAGCCTGTTCATCTCCTACATATAGAAAGCTCAAACTGCCCAAGGAGCTGCTGATAAAGTTCTACAGGGGAATTATTGAATCTATCATCTGCACCTCTATAACTGTCTGGTTTGGTTCTGCAACCCAACAGGACAGACACAGACAGACATTAATTAGGACTGCAGAAAAAATAATTACTACCAACCTGCCTTCAATCGAGGACCCGTATAATGCACGAGTCAAAAAGAGGGCTGTGAAAATATTTACAGACCCCTCACATCCTGGACATAAACTGTTTCAACTCCTTCCCTTAAAACGACGCTATAGAGCACTGCACACCAGAACAACTAGACACAAGAACAGTTTTTTCCCAAACACCATCACTCTGCTAAACAAATAATTCCCTCAACACTGTTCAACTATTTACAAAGACTGCACTACTTTTACTATTAAACTTCTCATCACTCCTTATCACCCATCCCCTCCCACTTGTGACTGTATGACTGTAACGTTGTCGCTTGTATCCTTGCGATTTATAGTGACTGTTTCCTAGTATGATTTGATTACTGATTGTACTCTATAACTATTATTAAGTGTTGTACCTTATGATTATTGACGCTTGACAAATCTATCTTTTCTTTTATGTATACAGAGAGCATTTGCACCAAGACAAGTTCCTTGTGTGTGTCCAATCACACTTGGCCAATAAAAGAATTCTAATTCTAATAGTAGAGAAAGAACAACAAACTTAAGTGGCTTTTCACAGAGAAAAGGCAGGCCATCTAGAACAATTTAATAGAGCATAGCTAAACATGTAATGGGCTATGGGAAAACCTACTAAATGAAATATGAGCAAGTAGCTGTATCTCAAACTTTGTCCTCAAGAAGATGTTAATTCTCAGCAGGTCTGACCTTTGATCTTTGTAAAGCATTGCTAATACTCTTAATAAAATGAAAAACAATCCTATTTGCTTCTATTGGATATGCTATAATTATGTACTCTTAATTGTAAAGGAGGCCCATTTAGGCTTGAAAATTTACTCAGAAATCAAGAGTTATTCAAATTTTTAAATAGTCTGCTTAAAATCCTCCACAGAGCAGCCGTGAAAATTAAAACAGGCATGATTACTGTATTTGTCTGTCAGCATTAATTGTAAAATGAAAGATATAAAGCAAAGATATTGAAATGCTAATAAAGTCCTTGAATTTTTATTATTAAAATACAGTTCATTTGTTATTCTTAGACTGTGAAAGCAAAAAGTTAGGGAGAACTACTCCGTTTCTGTATGTCAGAACAGTCTCCCGATAATAACCATGATTTATTCTATATGGCACTGATGTCCATTTTAATAATGAAACGCTCAACAATATATATAATTTCTCAACAAAGCACAAAACTCTGCTTTTGGTGAAAGGACTTCAGAGACAGTTATAACCAAGGGTTGCTGCTGGGATAAAATCTGGACATCGTTCAGATTCCCAATAATTATCATAGTTAAAACGAAACTAAAACCATTTCTTGATTTCTGCAATGATGGCTCTTTCTTTAAAATTCCTTTCCCTCTCAGACAGGCTGAAAAACATTTGGCTTTTCAGATTTTCCTGAACTGCAAGTCAGGCACTGTGAAAAGAATGCTGGGACATGTAGTTCAGCCAACTGCGGAGAGTCCCATCCCTGCTGTAAATATTTTTTACAGCCGAGAAGGCTGTCCAGTTGAATGTCTGTGAGTGTATATGTGCACCTTCATGTTGAGTTTTTCACTCCTGGTGGATTATCTAGACAAGTCCCTGCAGTTTTCTTGGCAAGATTTCACAGGCGGTTTTGCCACTGTCTACTTCCTATGGCTGAGAAAGAGTGACTGGCCCAAGGTCACCAGCCAGCTTTGTGCCTAAGGCAAGACTAGAACTCAAGAATTTCCTGGTTTCTAGACTCAAACTTAATGATAAAATCATGGGCTTTTTTCTATAAACTCAGTGAATTAATTTTAAATATTTTAATTAAATTGTTTGCCATTGTTTCCTCCCTTATGGCTGAGGAAGTGTAACTGGCTCAAGGTCCCCCAGCTGGCTTTATGCCCAAGGCAGGACTGCAACTCATGGTATCTCGATTTCTAGTCTGGGCCCTGCACCAAATATTAGCCTTTTCCTCCCTCAGTCTGTTCACAGATTTCTTGCTGCTCTAGGCTATTCCTTTGACTCTACCCAGCTTTTCTGAATTTAATCTTCCACTCATTAGTGTGGGGTGGGTGGGTGTGTCCACATCTTTTTGCTACAAACCTGGTTTACATCGCACCAAAGTTCGTATCAGGACGGCCATATCTGTACAATGAATGCTTGCTTGCCAGTATTTTCAACTGGGATGGATTCTACCCAAGTTTGTCCTGTTGTCCTCTCACAGTTGTGAGAAAAATACTCCTCTTCTCTATCTCTCAATATGAAATCTGAAGTAAGTGAAACTGTCCTCTTGTAACTGGATCTGTGGGTAAACACTAAGAGACAACAATCAGGTTGTTTTAAATAATAGCTAAGTTGGATGCATTCTTAAACTTCTGATATCTTCTACGAGCTGCAGCAAGGAGGAAGAAGCAACGTGTGACATCACGCCATGTCATCGCATTAACAAATGACCCAATTCAGAAAATCTGTATGATGATGTCATGAAGCATATGACAGCATTGTGGCTTGTACTGGACATCTGCCTATTCCTCACCCATTATCCCTGCTACATTTCCTAGCCATACCAATGTTTTATTTCCCCAACAATCAGATTCAGCCCTGATTTTTTATTTTTAGCTCAGAATAGCAGTATGAGCCATGGTGGCGCAGTGGTTAGAGTGCAGTACTGCAAGCTATTTCTGCAGACTGCCAGCTGCCTGCAATTTGGCAGTTCGAGTCTTACCAGGCTCAAGGTTGACTTAGCCTTCCCTCCTTCCGAGATGGGTAAAATGAGGGCTCAAATTGTTGGGAGCAATATGCTGATTCTATAAACCACTTAGAGAGGGCTGTAGAGCACTGTGAAGCAGTATATAAATCTGTTGCTATTGCTATTTGCCATATTAATAAGATTCTTTGTAATCCCTTCCCTAAAGCTGATAATTGAGAGGATTCTTTAAATATTGATTTTAGATTATTTTGTGCATGGTTCAAAGAACTGATTATTTTTTCTTAAGCTTTAGATTAGTCTCACTTGATTTCCACAATGAAAAACGTGCAAGGTCACAGCTTAGTAATGGCAACCATGAATTGTTATGAGGCCAGACGGATCTAACAATTTCCCTATACATTATTAAGCTGGCCTTTTACTTCATCACCCCAAGAGGACAAAACTGTCAGTGTGGCTTCTTCTAGAAAATATCAGTTATTATATATCGCTCTCCAGATTTATCTATAAAAAGCACTTAGCCTAATATTCTCCATATAATCAGGCTTCTTCTGCCATGAGCATTCAGGGCAAACTTGATTTCAGGGATGTATTTTAAAAGCACTGAACATAGTCATCAGAAATAAAACTTTCTTTATGTAGCAATAATTGGCTTCAGTTTATTAAATTTAATGCTCTGCTTCAGGCAATCAGCCTCTACCTATTGGGTTCCTACTCCAAATACAATTAAATTTGAACAAAACAATATAAAGACTGAAAGATTCTCTTCCCTCTTTAGATCCAGATTTGTCTGTGTTTGCAAGGCCCATGAAATCTGATTCCAAATCTTTCAGAGATCACCAGATTGACTGAAAGTTATACAGTATTTCATGTTCTTGGATAGAGATCTGGGACAGTGCTTTACATCATCACATTATCTCTCTCTCTCTCTCTCTTTCTCTCTCTCTCTCTCTCATCTATCTATCTATCTATCTATCTATCTATCTATCTATCTATCTATCTATCTATCTATCATCTATCTATCTATCATCTATCTATCTATCTATCTATCTATCTATCTATCTATCTATCTATCTATCATCTATCCATCCATCCACCCATCATCTATCATTTATTGCATTTAATGGAAATAAGGTTGCATTGTTATATTACTAGTGATCTCCACCTTATCGATGTCAGCTGTAACTATGTCATCAAAGTTGAGTTTTTACATGTCTGTACTCAAAGCCACTATCTCGATTCCTTTTTTTACCCAACCTACGGACACTCCTGATCTCTGCTCTATATCTATTCTAGGCTTGATTGAATCACAGAGTTCATGAATCCTATTGGATGTGATTTTGGTAATGATGTCATGATTCTGCAGCTAGTATGATGTTATCAAAAGTTGGCAAACAAATTGCCTGTGTCAGTAAAGTTGACCTGATTCAGTAGGACTGCAGATCAATATTCCCTGTTAGCTTTCCAGAGATTTTGTTTTCCTGAGAACATTTTTATCTCTAGGTTTTCCAGCTTCTTTTGGTTTTGAGGAAAGCAGTAAGAATGCTAGTATAATGATTGGTAGGAATGTCCATGAGAAACAGGAGGAGGAGGAGGAGCTGAAACCAGGACAACAGTCAAATAAGAGACATCTCAGCCCACAGAGGAAATGGGGGTGTGGAAAGCATTTTCCTGAAAAGTAAATGGGGAGAGAGATATTTTCAGACTTGCAAGATTCTCTTACTTGTAACCTTAAAATGGCTTGGTGCAGTGGTGGTTATGCTACTGGTTCGGACTGGTTCACTTGAACCGGTAGTAAAAAAAAAAGCCAACGATCAGCTGAGAGGAGGAAAAAAAATCCTCAGATAATCAGCTGAGAGGAAAAAGAAAAGGGCAGGATTGGCCCTCCCACCCGCCCCTGCGCTTTTCTCTCCTTTATCCTCTCAGCTGATTGGCGCTGCAGGTCTCAGCTGGTGTGGGGAAAGCTGCGCACGGGCGTTAGGCAAAGCACACCCACCAAGCCACGCCCACCGAACTGATGGTAAAACAATTTGAATCCCACCACTGGCTTGGTGATTAAAGATGGAGCTTGTCAGCTGGAAAGCTGACAGCCTGGGTTCAAGACCCGAATGCCTTGCAATGCCTTGATTAATGCTGTGCATTACTTGCCCCAGCTCCTGCCCACCTAGCAGTTTGAAAGCATGCACATGTGAGTAGATAAATAGGTACCACTTTGGTGGGAAGGTAAGAGTGTTTTATGTACCTTGGTATATAGCCATGCCGGCTACATGACCAGGAAGTGTCCTTGGATAATGGCTGGCTACCTCGGCTAAGAAACGGAGATAAGCACCATCCTTTAGACTGGATAGGCAAAACCTTTATTTTTACCTTTACTTTTACCTTACAATAAGGGTAGCATTAGTACTTACTGTATTGGTTTTTTTGTCTGGAATATCTCGAAGAGATGGCGACTGGATAAAGTGAGCATTTTGTCCCAACAATCTCTTTTATTGGTCAAATTTGGTTGTTATAATTCTGTTATAGAAGTACAACCATCAACAAAGGAGAAACAGAGAGGCCCAAGACTATGAAGCGGTGCCATTTTACCCAGTAATTTTGTTTCAAGTACAATAAATCCCACCCTGGCAAATTCAGCTGAAAGCAATCTCTCTGGCTGTCAGGAAATATTGAATTAGGGCAGCAAAGGGCAGAGATACTTGGCAGAAATTGGGAAGTAGGAGGAATTTTTAATAGCCTAATAAAGAGAAACTGTTTTGTTGGCGGGCCTGTATGATTTAAATAACACACAAAGGGACAAACAGCTGTGTATCCAAACCTGTGCGTTGTGGGTTTGAAGCCACAACACTGCAACTGTGGCCTTCTGAAGTGCTTTGACACTCTCAGATTAATGAGTTTATAATTTAGAGCTACAGTGACGATGAAGACTTCGGTTAAAGACCAAACCCTGGGATTTTATTTCGCCGAGTTTCTTGGCACAAATGAGGATTACAAATGGAAGAAGCTTGATCTGGGAAAGGGTTCTAGAAAATTAATTTTGTTTGAGTTATCATTAGACCGATTTACATAGTGACAGTTGCATCTGCTGTCATAATGATAGATGAGTTTGCAAGAAGGAAGGTCTGTTCCAAACAGCATTTCTGATTCATTTTAGCTTCTCCAATCACTTGGGCTTAATAAAGGGGATATTTGGTATATCTGGGAGGTGGGATAGAATATCTATTAAGGTGGAAGGTAGATTTTGCCAGATCCTCAGTACAAATCTTAAGACTGCCTAGGTGTTCACCAAACGACTTCAGACAAGCTGCCACACAGTTGTAAGCATTGGTGGGATTATTATTTTTTTACACCAGTTCTGTGGGCGTGGCTTGGTGGGTTTGGCTTGGCTAGGTGGGCGTGGCTTGGTGGGCATGGTAGGGGCAGGATACTGCAAAATCCCATTCCCTCCCCACCCCACTAACCTGCTTTCCAGCTCCGTTCTCCTGTGTAGGGCAACAAAAGAAGATCCAGCCAATCAGCTGGGATTTGGGAGGCAGAGAATAGATGGGGGCGGGGCCAGTCAGAGGTGGTATCTGCCGGTTCTCCGAACTACTCAAAATTTCCTCTACCGGTTCTCCAGAACTGGTCAGAACCTGCTGAATACCACCTCTGGCTGTAAGCTAAGTATATTCTTCCATTTCAGCCCTATGTGACTGAAATATGAATATGAAAGCTCTTTCTGTTCACCAAACAACAGCTAATAACAAGAGGACTGCAGTTTTATGTCAGCTTAATTTACTACGTACAAGTTGGTTGCATTATTATACCAGTTGGACTTAAGCAAAATTCAGAATAAACCAACTTTAAGCCATAATTCCTATTTTGAAAATAGCAAGAAAGCTTAAGTTTTCAAAGGTTGTGGTTACATCTACACAGTATGTAGATGGGGAAGATGTGGTTCATTTAATGGGGTTGAATATGGCCTGAATATGTTGGGTAGATCCCAAGCAGTGGGAAATGAAAAAAAAAACATGGTTATTTTTTGATGTGTTGTACTTATCCAGAAGATTATTCATTCGATAAATCATATATATCAAAAACAATGATGTACAACAATACGTACCCCGCAAAATAAGATAAGTATGAAGTTCTCTCTTTGCTAAACCAGGGTGATTATACCCAAAATGGCCTTTAGACTCAGCTGGTCACTTGAAGCTCTGAGAATGATAATTATGGAATGTAAATTCCAGCATAGTTTTTTTTTTTTTTTTTTTTTTTTTAAGGGAAGCCGAATTAGAAGATTTACCAAACAGCTGCTGTTGTTTTTCAGAAGGGGGGCAGAAACAATCAGCATTTACTAGTCAACAATGAATTTTACTCAAAAATAATTTTGAAAAGGAGAGTCCAAAAAGGAATGTTTATTTGAGAACAGTACAAACAACATGGCCTTCTTTAGTGTTGCATTTTCTAAAAGTATATCAGGGAGACTTGCATATGACAAGGTATATGGATAGACAGCACAGATAAGACAAGAAGACCC